TCTCAAATAAGTACAAATCTTAGGGGTCAGAAACTGAACGAGACAGGCAGAGTCGCATGGCCAAAGACAGAGGTGCTAAACCAAGGACTCTATCAACTGTATACAGTCTGTTACTTGTGCTCCCAGCTAAACCCTCCAAGTCTTCTGAAGCATGCACAAATGACTGGAAGGGGTTTCTTTGACATACCTATTTGACCTAATCAATGATGGAATTATCAGACGGACCTCCTTGCCAGCTGCCAGCTAATCCACTTACCCAAAATGTGCAAAGCCGATTCCCTGGTTTGCAGTGTTCCCCTTCCCTCTCTCCTCCCTCTTCAATTTGGTGTTTGCCTTTATTTGGCTCCAACTCCCAAATGACTTCGTCACACACGATAAAACAACAAGTGTAAAAATAATGAATTGATGTCTCTAAGTTATTCTGTGAGAGGGACCCTGTGATTTCACAAAAGGATCCTCAGGAATGTGCCAAAATCCACACGGGTTGCACGGGGTGGCTCTGAAGAAGGCTTGTCTGCTGGGTCTTCTTTACCACTTCCTGTCCCAGTCCTGCCTCTGGGCCATCAGGAGCCATCAACCACATTTGCTGTAGATGCGCCTTTGCTGCCTCTGCCATGCTGGCTGAGCTGTTCTGTCTGGCACCAAGACCTCCTGGACCCTCATCATCTAATTTTATACCTCATCTACCCTCTGCTCCAGCCTTGTGGCCACTCATGTTCCCAAAATTGCATCTTCCCTGTTCCTGCCTTGGTCCCTTACTTGAATAGGACGTCCTTCCTCCACTTGACAGGGTCTTCCATCTCTGAGCTCCCCTGGCAGGAAGACTCACCCTCTTCTCTGCCCTCTTGCTTTTATATTTTTTTTATATTTTATTTCACTCTTGGTCTCTTACATGAAAGAAAAATCTGAGGGCAGAAACCATGCTTTACCAATTTTATCTAGTAAATATGTTTCCAATGCTTGAGGTCTTCAGGAAATACAAAGAAAAGCAGAACCTAGTTTCTGCCCTCAGAGAGATCAAATCCAGTACAACTATGTATGTAAAAAATCCCCAATAAAAGAGAGACCAGCTCTAGTACAGATATGTATGTAACAATCTACAGTAAAAAGGTCTCATGATGTACCTTGTTTGTGATTCCATTCAACTCCTTCATTTGTGAGAAAATATTCATTGACGATAACTAACTGAGCAGCTCTAAGTTATTCTTTGATAAGACTTCATTAAAGGAGGAACAGAAGAGTTCCCAAAGCCTAGGTTCTGAAAATAACCTGTCAAAAAAGGTAAATATAGAATGACACTATGACCCAGAAATTCCATTCCTAGGTAAACAAGGGGGACCCCTCCCCCCAAAATTACTTTTTAGACGGCTGGTCCTGTATAGTAGATGCCTCCCCTGCTAGGTAAGTGTTCTAGGAATCTATCTGCATTAAAGTACCAACCAGCATTGTTATGAGAGCTGCGTTCGGCTTCAGTGATTTTTTTTTTTTTAAGATTCTTTCAATGCGTTTGCCCATTTCATGATGGGTGATTTAGAAGCACACCTGCCCACACCACGCTGAATGTTCAGCAGATTTTGACTTTTGACCCAAAACGACATGACCCCCGTGCCCCACCCTCCCTATTCACCCAATCTCACCCTGACAGACTTATTTTTTATTTCCCCGAATGAAAAAAGTCACCAAAGGAAAACATGTTGCCGATGTGGAAGAAGTGAAATAAAAACGGCAGAAGCACTAAAAGCCATCAAAATTGGTCAGTTCGAGAACTGTTTTGAGCAGTGGAAAAGTGTCTCGATAGCTGTATTGCATCAAACGGAGAGTACTTTGAAGGTGACTGAAGTTTAAACATGTAAGAATAAGTACACAATTTTTTATAAATAAAGTCTGGTTTTTTGGGGTGCTCCCTCATATACCCAAGAGAACTGTCCACACAAAAACATGTATAGAATGTTCACAGAAGTTTTATTCATAAATTCATAATAGACACAAAGAAGGAACAACCCAAATGACCATCGACTGATACCTGGATAAGCAAAATATGGTTTATCCAAATAATGGAATGTCTTCAGTCAATAAAAGGAATGAAGTACTGACACAGGTGACAACACAGGTGATTCCTGGAAACGTTATTTACAGTGAAGAGGTCAGGCATAAACGGCCACGTAATTTGTGATCCCAGTTATATAAAATGTCTAAAATAGGTAAATCCATTAAGAAAGAAAGTAGATTCATGGTTTCCAGGGCCTGGGGAGAGGGTAGCAACTGCCAATAGGTACAAAGTTTCTTTGGTGGGAGGGTAGGTGATAAAAATGTTCTGGAATTAGATAGTGGTGGTGGTTACATAACTTTGTGAATTATACTAAAAAACCACTAAATTGTATACTTTAACAGGGTGAATTTGATGGCATGTAAGTGAGAATTCAATTTTTAAAATGATTTTTTTAAAAACTTAGGCTCTAGCCGGGCCCAGTGGCTCAGCCTGTAATCCCAGCGCTTTGGGAGGCCGAGGTGAGTGAATTGCCTGAGCCCACGGGTTCGAGACCTGCCTGGGCAACTTGGCGAGACCTCACCGCTACAATAAATCAAAAATTAGCCGGGCATGGTAGCGCGCGCCTGTAGTTCCAGCTACTTGGAAGGCTGAGGCAGAAGGATCGCTGCAGGTCAAGGCTACGGTGGCTGGGAGCGGCCATTGCACTCCAGTCTGGGTGACAGAGTGAGACTCCAACTCAAAAAAAAAAACAAAAACAAACTTAGGCTCTGACTAAAGACTGTGTGCCTCCCTCGCTGAACTCTCATGTAGGTGGTACATTCTAGACATGCTGATTTTTCAGAGGCCAATGAGTATTCTTTTTTTACCAATCTCCAGATACTGCAAGAGGCACACAGAGGCCTTGAGGTGTTGATGGTCATGGGAAAGTCTACTGATAAATATCACCTTTTCCTGTCACTGCTTGAAGCAACCCATTTAATAGGTCATTTCTTCCAGAGCTTTACAAATTATGCTCTTGATAGCATTTTCCCAGAACTGAGGCATTTTCTGCAACATGATCTCTCAGTGCTCAACCTGAGAAAGTCCTAGGCACCTGGACAATTGGTCTTCCAAGCCCCTGAAGAGCAACAAGCAAAGGTGAAGGGTCTTCAATCTCTAATACCAACCAGGGGTCCACCTACAAACACAACTTCTCTATTTTTTTTCTCTCTTTTACATACTAGACTTTGCCTATCCCTTCACTTTGAGGCAAAGTATTCTGTGACTGAAACAGGTTTGAAAGTCATGACCCAAGCCATGATTATCCCAAGGGCTCCCATCAGTCAAAGCCCAAAAGGTTCAGAGACGAAACATTTTCAGTGAGATGAGTCCAATGTGTAAGACAGAATCTCACCGTTGCAGAGGGAGAACTGAACAAAAGCTACCTGGATGGGGTCCAGGGATAGACAGGTGATGTGGGCAGGGCTGGGTTAGGTTCTTGACTGTGTCCATCATCACTGCCCTTCCAATCAGCAAGTGGGTCTAAGAGGAGAAGGTGGAACTCCAGGACAGATCCCCATTTTCAACCTCTTTTGAAACCTGAGAGTTTTATGGATGTTTCTAAAGTCCTGTCCAGAACCCACGTCCTACGATCCTAGACTTTGACAGCATTCCACTCAAAAAAACTTGGCTCTCCTTTCTATATCCTTCTTACAGTGAACACATGTGACTCTTTTCTGGCTGTGAGAACATATACAACTCATCTTTAGAGAAATGCAAAATTAACAGAGAGTATTAACTCTGCCTCCGACGCAGCCCTCAACCAAAATGAATGGGGAATTAGTAGATAAACAGTCTCACCTCTTTGCCTGTCAGTGGAAGAACTTTGAGGCATATTAAACAGTGTCCAGAGTTCCCTGGCAGATCTGAGTTTACCTACCCACAGCAGGCTTCTGCTCAGTAATGTACCCTATAGTCCTGGCTTCCCTTTCTTACATAATCCTCACATCCCAAATAGGCTGCTTACATTTAATTGTAACTCAAGGTCTGCTTTTAGGGACACCCAACCAACTGATTCTGTGACACATTTCACAGAAATAGCAATTTGAAACAAACATACACACACACACACACACACACACACACACACACACACACACACACACTAGCCCACAGCAATCCTATGGGAAACACCCAGTATTGAGCTTGGGGCTTGGTCAGGCCAACAATGGTTGAGAAGCCCTAAACAATGTATGAAGATATTCTGATGTGTTTGGATAAACCACATTTTGGTTGTCCCTTTATCCATTGATGATCATTTGAGTTGTTCCTTCTTTTTGACTATTTATAAAAAATTGTATACTTATTCTTACATATTTTAACTTTAGTCACCTTCAAAGTACTCTCTATTTGATGCAATGCACCCATTGAGACACTATTTCCACTGCTCAAAACAGTTTTGAACTGACCTATTTTGATGCCTTTAGTGCTCCTGCCATTTTTTTTCACCTTTTCCACATTGTCAAAACATTTCCCTTTGAAGACTTTCTTCATCCAGGGGAACACACAAACTAACAAAGCCTCACAGGGTGAGATCTAGTGAATAGGGAGGGTGGGGCATGGGAGGTCATGCTCCTTAGTCAAAACTGCTGAATACTCAGTACTTTGTCCATCATGAAATAGACAAACACATTGAAAGAATCTACACACACACACACACACACACACACACACACACACACACTCACTGAAGCCAAACACAGTCTCTTACAACAACACTAGCTGGTACATTGATGCTGATGGTTCATAGAACACCTACCTACCTAGCATGGGAAGCCTGCACTACAAGGCGCCTGCCCTCTAAAAGATAATTCTGGGTTTTTTGGGTCCCCTTCATACTAAATTTATAATTCACTTAAATATAATACAAGGGACTGTATTAAAAGAAATTAAATACGCAGTCATTTGTAATGCATAAAAGGATCCATGGGTGCTTTTAAAATCTATGATTAAATGAATATAAGCTACTCACTTATAAAAAGCCTGGTTCTCCACTCCACACTTCCAAAGATGTTTGCAGGCAGCTGGTGTTGAAGTATGGAATGCCAACATGGCTTTTTTCTAATAAACAATAACAAAACAAGAAAGAATATGTTAAGCATATTTTATGTTTTACCTTCAGATATTTACCCATTTGTGTTTTGCCTCCTACTACACAGATTTTAGGTAACTTCACACATTATTATGTTCTTGAAAGCACTGTTGAAATGGCATATCCCCTTCTTCCACCCTTTCCAGATATTAGTAATCTATCTAGGTACTATTTTTGATAAAAAGTTGGGTTACAATTCTTCTCAGTGTTCCAGGCATTATCTACTTCCCTATCAGACTTAGCTAAGTCTAAAATATTTACTTGCCGTCCTTGAAGAACTAGTACTTGAGCTGAAAACCAGGGTCAAAAAATCTGCCAACTTCTAGAACTGCTCTGAGGGTTAACATTTTGGCAATGGCCTTCTCTAAAATGCATCCCCTAATGAACCCACAACCTCTATCTGGTAACACCTTTATTTTATGATTTGCAGAACTTACGGATCTGTTTAAAACAGGCTAACAAGCACTTGTTGATATTAAGCTCTGTAAGTGTTCCTTATTTCTCTTGTATATCTTGGCAAAAAGAGGTAGGGGTTTATCTCATTCTATTTTCTACGCAGGGGTGTAAAGTCAGCATTGCTCACTGACTTTATTCTTAAATGTGCAAACCCAGCATTTCTTTGTTTACCTCTAAGATGTTTGCAGCATATAGCTTTCATCATTGTCATCACACACTTCAAGCCACAGGCTTTGGGAGCTATAATACCAAAGGTCTGTTTTATCCTTGAATCTTTCTCACGCACACACAACAACAGTAGTTAGAAAAGCAGTATCTGACCTCTTTCTGGGTGCCAATCACATAAAACGTCTTCCCTTCAAACTTCAACTTGCAGACATCTGGCCTAAGAAAAGAAAATCTCTGGGTGAGGAGAAAAAAAGTGGCAGCTACCCAAGGTACCTGACTTTCCCATAGGAACCCGGCTGACTCACAAATGCAAGCAGACTGCAATGAAGCAAGATATTATCTTATCATCGGTGAAGGTCTAATGAGCAGCAAAAAGCCCCAAGTGAATTATACAGCAATTTTCTTCCCAAGAGAGGATCTATAGACAGCTCAGAATTATTTATTCCATTTTTTTTTTTTTTACAGTTAGGCTGCATCTTTCTTCCAAGAAGCTCTACAGTGTTTGTGAACATTAACGACCAAAACCACATTGATTGGCCAGCCCACTTGGCAAGGTAGGAAATATGTGTGGTTATTTCAGATTCTGTTAATGAAATGATGTGGATTCACAGTGTCTGACTTTCTCATCCTTCCACATCCATCTCCAAGAAACACAACCACCACACTGCAAAATGTCCATTCCTGTTCTCTGTTGACAAATGAGTTGCTTTTTTAATATATTGAGATGTTCAAGATTGAGAGAACAACTTGAAGAATGACAAACCGTGGTCAAAAGAGCGACTTTAGGTATCATCTTAAGGAGCTGCTCAGTTAAAAGCTGCCGGAAATGTAGACCCCAGGTCACCTCCCTGATGAGATTTGAATAAAGAGAGGAGAGAATTCTATTTTTATTTCTTTGATCTCATTCCTAGGATAGTGATGCATGCTCATGCTCTTCCCAAGGGAATAAGAACAGAGAGGTCACATTAATCTGTTTTAAATTAAGTAGAGGATTTATGAGCATGACAAAGCTCACTGGATAAAAAAAAAGAAAATTAATGTGAGAGGAAAATTTGTTTTTGTAACATGCACATGACTGTTCCAAATACACGTGCCTAAGCAGAAGCTAGGAAGGATGGATCTGTATCAGCACCACACTGGGAACACCAACGAGAAGTAAACAAGATGTAGACGCCAGAAACAAATGGCCCAGAGATTATCCCTCTCCACTCTTCAATGTACCCAAGATGAAAATGAGACCCAATGAGGAGAGAGATCTGCAATGATTCTGCACTGGGACACATCAGGTTCTAACCTAACTACTCCTCAGAACCCTGAGGATCTAATATCCTTCAGGACTTCCAGGCCTTTTGCAGTCCTAGGGTAAGATAGGGGAAGTCTCCAAATTACTCATGCTCCCCAAAGTCAGTGGGAATTCCTAGGAAGGATATTGCAGAATGGACTAAAGGTGGTTAACAATGGCGTTTCTTTGCAAGGTACAGAAAATACAGAAAAATAAATTGGGTAACATCAGCATGCTATATGTATATTGCCCTTTATAGCTCACAAACCACACCAGATTTACAGATTTCACACACATTCCTTCATTTGCTCCTCCCCATGTTCTTCCTTCCCTCCCTCTGATCCTCACTTTATGGATGTGTCCAATGAAACTCAGAGAAGTTAAGTGACATATCAAAGACAAACAAGAGTTTTAAGAAGGCTAATTGTGGAAGAAGTGGGCCCAGAGAGGAGGTGAAAGTATGAATTGAGTAAGAGACAATGATAGAGGGGGCAAGGACACTAGTTAGAAAACCTGGGGGTCTTAGGGAGGGAGGACTGATTATAACCAAGAGCAGAAGATGTAGGAAGTGGAGTAGACATTGCTGACTGAGCCTAACCTAGCAGGGAAGGTTAGAAAGGAAGGTAAGTGCTGCAAGGAGAGTGCTAAGAGATGGAAGGATTTGATAGAGAAGTGCTGGAAGAAGTCCTGACTCTAATAGAACCAATAGGCTAAGCTTCGGCTAAGTGCAAGAACTCATCCAACCCAGGCCTGAGGGTGCCATCTGACCCGTCAGGAAGAACCACAGAGGGAGAGGGGGGAAAAAAGAACCATAAACCTAAGGGCAAGTCCACAACACGGTAAGACCCAGGGATGACAAGCCTGTCAGAGGCCATCAGAGAGGGAACTGAGTCAAGCTGCAGGTATGAACAAGACTAAGCCTTTATAATATTCCAAAGCTCATGCAACATTCAGCCTTCCTCACTCTTTATCAAAACCATTTTGTCACTTGATTGGATATGGCAAGCACAACTGGTCACCTACCCTGCTCCATCCTACCGCTTCCCTGCTGACACAGCCTTGACTTTACTCCTCCTTGAGGTGTTGTCCATGCAGATTGTCCCCTTTCCAGCCCCCAGGGATAGATCTTGATTCAAGCACCCCAGGTATGGAGTTGCCATTCTTTTCAGCAAGGACTGGTTTAAGTAGAAACATGTGACCCAATTCTGTCCAATTAAATATACAGGAAGTCTACAGGACTTTTTAAAAAGTTCCCCTTGTTTAAAAAGGAGACAGATGGAAGGGACTGATCTCCTCCAGGCTCTGGGCACTGATGTGGGGAGATGTGAAGGCCAGTCATGGACATAGCCATCTCTGGAACATGATCCTGGGGACCAAAGCCACCACCCTGGAATGGCAGAGAAGAAAATGGATACCTAAATCTGTCACATGTTGTCAGTCAATTAAGTTGACAGACTGTGGAACCACTCCACATTTGCTTTGTGAGCTGATCAGTCCTCTTATTCATGAGCCATTGTGAGTAGACATTCCTGTTATTTGTTGCCAAAATCATCTTCACTGATACACTGAATAACAAAGGACGAATTAGCACCAAAGAGTCAACAGAAGAGGAGAGTGCAGAGAAGTGAGCAGAGGGGCGGGGAATGGGTCCTGAGTTGCTCACAGGATCTAAAGATTTTACCCTGCCCTGACCCACCCACGTCTCCATTCTGGCCAGAATCAGAGAAGCTACAGGTGAGGAAACACTGGACACCTTCTCTTTGAAGGCAGAACTCCTGAGATTAGGCAGAACTCCTAAATTGACCCCTCAGTTTGGCAAACCCAATTCCCCACTAAGGGCAACCTAGATTGGATAAATCCTTTCATGATATAGCTCCAAGCCAGGTAAATGAATACAAGGTATTCTACCTAACTCCCCACCCACCCCCCAAATAAAAAAAGTCAAAGAGGGAAGAGGAGAGATAAGATCCAGAAAAAGAGTAAGCCAGTCTTCCAAAGAGGTACTCACCATTTTATCAGATGGATTCTCTTATTTCCCTGGAATACCACAAAGCCGGAAGCAGTGAATCCTAAAAATGTTGTTGTACCGGTTGAATCCTGAAAAAAAAAAAATAGAAAAAAAAAACCTGTTTGGACTGAGGAAAATAAAATAAATGATAAACAATATACTTATTCATCCTCGCCCTAGGTTAATCTCAGATTAATTTCAATGATTATAGCAATGAACCAGGCTTCTGAAGTGAAAACTCTAAGAGCAGCCCTTCCAAAATCTGGACATGGTCCAGGAATATGTAGCTTTTCCCTTTGAGGAAAGGACTTTCTGCCCCTCCAGGAACCTCCTGGGAAAAATACAGATTAGTCACAAATTATTATGTCTACTTCCAAGTGTCTTCTGGGGCTCCTTGTGTTCTAGATTTGCTTTGTAATGTGAGAAAACTGTTCTTGGTTGCCATTAGCACTCTAATGCAATGAAACTAAAGCCCTGGGCATCTAATCTAACTTAATTCAATCCCTCATAGATTTCTGGCAATTTCAGTTGAAAAAAAAACAACAAATGAAAAACGACCATGCTTCCAGCCTAGACCAGGGAAACTAAGCATCTCATAGACAAGCAAAGGCAAAGGAATAACAACAACAAAAAGATCAAGACAGTCTCCAAGTCTACAAGTTATAAGTAAAATAAATACACTCAAATTTCTGTCTAAAAAGCCAATTCACTAAATGGAATAGACTGATTAATATCATTACTAGGAAGAGGCAGCTGGCAAATATTCTGAAATAATTGTGTAGGCAGAACAAGAGGATGCAAATGCCAATATAGACAAGCATCACTGGCTCTCTGCCTTGGCTGCAAGTTAGAATCATCTGGGAAGCTGGCCTCCACCCCCCACAGGCCCTGATGTAATCGGTGTGGAGTGTGTTCTGGCAGCAGGAGCTTTATGAAGCTTTCCGGGTGCTTCTAAGGAGCAGCCTGAACTGAGAGCTTCAGAACTGGTGCTTAACCAAACGCTATCAGCCAGGCCAATCTGGGTAAAACAAGGATCCACTAAAACTCAAGAACCTCTCTTTAAGAGCCTGACTGATATAAAAGCTCAGTTTAGGAAAGGGGCTTGTGTCTGGTTGACCTATAGTTAGTTTTAATATGAGGAAAGGCGAAAAATGCATCCACCAAACATTTCTGGAAAGTGTGCCCACAGGCATCACCTTGGGAGACTGATAAAAAAGCAAGATTCCCTGGTTGTAGCCCAGGAATTTCGAGTCAGTAGCTCTGGGGTGAGGCCAAGGTAATTCTGATATAGGTCTGTGATTCACTCTTAAGACAAATGCTGTCAAGCAATATGAGTAAAGGAAAAAAATAAAAGCAATTGCTCCTAATGCCAAAATGTCATTTGAAATCTTTCTTTTTTTCTTCCACTTCCCCATTTTTAAAGACTGCATTTTGGCTGGCAAGGGCCTTGGAAGCCCATCTGTCAGGATTCTGGAACTCCTCAAGGGTAAACCATCCACTTAGTGAGTGAGTCCATGGTTGTTAGTCTAGGAAAATGTGGCTACAACATAGCAATTAGTGCGCAACTGGAGATCTCCAGTGGAGAAAATCAACTGCTAACATATGTGGCAACAGCCCGCTGTTGTTTCTTTCAATTAGGAGCTGTGGGTCAGGCTAAGGAAATGGCCCAAGAGGGCTCTCCCAGGCCTGCACGCCAATTAATTCCCTTTTGGGCAAAACAGCAATCATATGGTGGCCTGCTGTGAGGGGCAGTTACCTTGCAGGGGTGAGGATCCACCCCATAGGTTTCCAAAGTGTGAGCTTTCAGGAGTAGGTTAAATTCAGCAACCGGCGGGCTTTGTCCTCTAAAATCACACAAGAAAAGTTGAGGAAGTTAAATGGAAAAGAACAGAAACATGGAGTCTCTTCATTCAATAAGGTATGATATTCTAAGCTAAATAAAGAGAAAAACATAAATGGTAATCAGTTGGACTGATCATTATCTCTCAACACAAGGAGTCCTTTGCTTAAGGAATCCGAGCTCATGTTCTCTAGCTAATTGTTCCATCACACATACTCCAAGTACTCCAGTGACCCGTACAGTTAATCAAGGTTATCAAGTTACCAATAAGGAGGCCCTTGCAAATTCAATCTTAATACAAAATAAACCTCAGCATCTGTTCTTTCCTATTCATTTTAAAAGATTATCCAGAGTAATTGGCATGCCTTCTTGCTCAGGGTTGAAAATGTGTAATCCTGTTACCCAGTCAACAAGCCCAAACAGAGCCATCTGGGCAAAGAGAATTGTCAACCAACCCATGGAGAGCCCTGGATTTTGAAAGGAAATCTCATCCAATAGTCATAGCACTGTCCTTCAGGGTGGTAAACACGGTTTTGGCCTCGGTGAAAAAAGGGCTACCTACAAATATAGATGACTGTGGAGTTTTTTCAGGGCTGACTTCTAAACTTGGATTGTGCAATATTTCAAAAACCTCACTTTGACCCACAATGATATTACATGTATATTTGAGGATCTGAACCATTCCTTCAAGGATAATTATAGCACTCTAATGCCCAAGAAGAGTTTGCTACAGAAAACAATGGGAATCCATTTTTATTTTTAAGATGTAAAATTATACTGCAATATGAAACCTCTCTCCACCCAAGCTTCTCCTCAGAGATGGACTTCTCCTACACCTCATCGAGGCAGTGTAGTGTCATCATACCTCTACATCAAAACAGCATCCATCTACTTTCTCCCTAAAACCTTTCAAGATCTTCTCTTTACGTTTAATATACTAAAGTTAGAACATGTCTAAAGTTACTCTGATATGTCTAAGAAGCATCTTTATTCATCATGATCAGCACAGTGTAGACTCTTTTCATCCAACAACACATATCTTTCTTTATCATTTCTTTTTTTTTAAGTTTTTATTTTAAAGATGGGGGATACAATTTCTTTATCATTTCTTAATTCTGTTCTTCTCTTCCCTACCTCCCTCCTTCCTTACCCCCAATCACACTCGCTCTCTTCTCTCCTTTGAGAGGCTCTAGTAAATGGATTTTGAAACCCCTGAATGTATCCTCCATGACTTTTTTTTTTCTTCTTCTTGAGTTGGCGTCTCCGTCGCCCAGGCTGGAGTGCAGTGGCACACTCCCGGCCATCTCAGCGTCGACCTACTGGGCTCCGGCAATCCTTCCACCTCAGCCTTCCAAGTAGCCAGAATTACAGGCGTGTGTTACCACGCCCGGCTAATGTTTGATTTATTGTAGAGATGAGGTCTAGCCAAGTTGCCCCAGTGAAACCCGTAGGCTCAGACAATCCACTTGCCTTGGCCTCCCAAAGTGCTGGGATTATAGGCTGAGCCACCGGGCCCAGCCACTTTTTTTAAAAATTGATTTTATTATAGAGATGTAGGCTACAATTGAGTATTAGTTACATAAGTAGGCTGCATGCAGATGAAGTATGGGCACTTAACTGGCCCTCATTTCCCCTGGTAGTAGACCAAGTACCCTTTGTATTGTCTCATGTCCGCACCTTCCTCCCTCTCTCCCTCCCTTAGCAGTGCCCAGCAACTGCTGATCCCTCCCTTGGGCTAATGTGACTAGTGTTCAAATCCCACTTATAAGTGAGAACATACAGTATTCAGTTCTTTGTTTCTGTGACAGTTCACTTAGTATCATGGTCTCCAACTCCATCCAATTTGCTGTGAAGTCTATGATTTTGTTCTTTTTTATGACTGTGTAATACTCCATCATGTATTTGTACCACATTTTCTTTATCCACTCCACTTTCAATGGGCAGTAGGGTTGGTTCCATGTTTTTGCTGTTGTGAATAGTGCAGCAATAAACATGCACGTACAGGTGTCTTTTTTGTAGAACAATTTATGTTCCTCTGGTAACCCAGGAGAGGAATCACTGGATCATATGGAAGGTCAATCTTTAGTTCTTTTAGGAATCACCACACTGCTTTCCAAGGAGGTTAAACTAGTTTGCAGTCCCACCAACAGTATAGAAGCGTTCCCTCTTCTCTGTGCCCATGCCAGCATCGGTTGTTTTTTGACTTATTAATGATAGACATCCTTACCGGAGTTAGGTAGCATCTCATTGTAGTTCTGATTTGTATTTCTCTTATTAGTGAGACTGAGCAGTTTTTCATGTGTCTATTGGCTGCCTGCATGTCATCTTTTTGAGAAGTGTCTGTTCATGTCCTTGGCCACTTTTTAATGGGGTTGTTTGTTTTTTTCCTTTCGATTCATTTGAGTTCCTTGTAGATCCTGGGTGTTAGGCCTTTGTCGGATGCATAATTTGCAAATATTTTTTCCCATTCTGTGGGTTGTCTACTCTCTTGATGGTTTTCTTTGTCCTCCATGACTTTTTGCCTTTATTTCATTGTTTTTAATCTCTTTTAGTATTACTTTCTGAATTATTTCTTCAATCAAAACTCCAACTTGTTAACTTATTATTTGGCTATGTACATTCTGCTTTTCATCTCATTTATAAATTTTTAAGATATCAATTAACTATTTCATTTCAAATGTAGTATCTATTTGAATCTTGAAACACCAGTGTGTTCTCAATTCATGAACATAATTCCTTATCCCTCTGAGGGAGACCACTTCATTTTTATTAAGGTCTAATCCTATTGGCTCCATTATTGCCACTTTCTTGGTGAAAGTCTTTTTTGTGTGCTAGGCTGAGTCTCTCATTCATGGAAATGATGTTTTGCTGATTCTTGGTTAGTCATTCATCTTTATATTTGATGTATCTTTTTAACTCAATTGACTCCAGAGGTTGTAGGGAAGCATGGGATATGCCATGTGTGAACAGTGTGTATCGGTAACTTGCTTTTGGGCTGAAGGTTCTAGTTCCTTCTGGGTGTTACCCACACCCAGGATATCTCCAGTTTAAGCCTGCTATTGTCCATGACTCAGCACAAGTGAATCAGAGGAAGGGGTGAGAGTTGTCCAGATGCAATTGCCCGCTCTCACCATGATGGCCACTGTATGTATCTGTTGCCTGAAGCACCCAGAACTACTTCCCCTTTGTTTGTGTTTGGCCTGGATTCCCCATTTCCTATCTTTCTATCTCTATAATCCCATGTCTTAGGATTTCTGATCCAATGGTGGTATGCTTCCTCATATACCCTTTTTAATGATTTTTCTATGATCCATCAGAGTTTGGGCAAGAAAGAGAAGGTAGCTACATATGCCACCTTTTTATTTTAATAGAAGAGATCATTTTAAAGTCATCCTTTACAGAATACTCCTGAGGAATTAACTCAAATTCATGCTTTAGAAAAATTAAGTCTAAAGCTTTTCAGGATTTTCTCTTCAGTTTTAGTGCTCTGGTATGTCACTGTGATATATATAGGGAGCATCTTCATTTATTCATCTTGATTAGCATTGTGTGGGCCCTTTTAATTACTAGTGTTGGTTTTCTTTTCAAGATACAGTGATTGTGATTAGTTCTTCTTTTGATAAAATGACAATAAACCCAAGAAAGTCACCAACTATATTGGCAGAGATGGAAAAATGATCCTTTTGAAAGTTTTTTCACTGCATACAGGTATTTCTCCACAGCTTTTTCATAAGTTCCTGAAGTAATATCTTGCCTTTCACCAAAAAATGAGCCATACAGATCAGTCTTGAATTCACATATAATAAGGCACTCTCTTTGTCTGTCAAGCACACACATTCACTTGGACATTCATGGCTTTCAAAAATGAGCAAAATAAAACTAAAGTGCTAAAAGCCAGAGATATGATTACCTTTGAGGAAAAGGGAAAAAGGAAAAATCGGGAAGGGCCTAACAGGGGCTTTTGAGGTGTTGCCAATTTTCTATTTGACCTGGGTGGTGATTACATACAGTCTTGTCTTGTAATAATTAATTGAGCTTTACATTTGCACCCTTCTCTGACTCTGTGTTATGCTTCAACTTTTATAAGTTTGATAAAAAAATTAAAAGGGGTGTGAACCACCGGGAACCCTCATCTACTGCTGGTGTGAACATAAGCTAAAGCAACCACTTCAGCAAACTGCCATTCCCTAGAAAAGCTAAAGGTATGCAAAGTTGTGTGTATGGCCCCACAATTCCTCACTTAGGTTTGTACCTAGGCTAGGGACTCCTGCACATGTGCCTCAGGAGAATTATTCAAGAAACCATAGCAACTTTGCTTGTAATAACAAAAACCTGGATAAAACCCAAATGTCCTCCAACAGGAGAACGGACACATAAAAAAATGTGGCTTGTTCCTACGATAGAAAATTAATTATGCAGAAGTGAAAAGGAAGACCTATGGCTGTTTGCATCAATGTGGAAGAACCTCAGAATGATAATGTTCATAGAGAAAAAATGAGACGCAAGAATGTATGAGTTCATTCATATAAAAGTAAAAATAGGCAAAAATAAAGCCATACATTATCTACTGATAATATGTATGAAGAACAAGAGAGGATTTTAAAAAAACAGAATTTATTTATAAAAAATTGTGTACTTATTCTTACATGTTTAAACTTCATTCACCCTCAAAGTACTCTCTGTTTGATGCAATACATCTACTGAGACGCTTTTTCCACTGCTTAAAACAATTTTTGAACTCATCAGTTTTGATGCCTTTTAGTATTTCTGCCATTTTTTGTTTCCCCTCTTTCACATCAGCAAGACATTTGCCTTAGAGGACTTTTCTCATCCAGGGAAACAAAAAGAAAGTCACTCAGCGTGAGATCAAGTGAACAGGGAGGGTGGGGCATGGGAGTCATGCCAGTTTCAGGCAAAAGCTGCTGAACATTCAGCGTGGTGTAGGTAGGTGCACTCATAAGTCACCCATCATGAAATGGGCAAATGCGTTGAAAGAATCTCCATAAAAAATTTCACT